GCTCAGTGTGAAGCTCAAACAAACCCTTCCAGGGGGGAAAACGCCAATAATCCAGTATGCAGGATGACTTCCTGCAGAAAGGCAAAGGACAAAAACAACATTAGAACTCAGAGAAACAAAGACTCAGTTAGACTCAGCTAAACTCAGCTCGGCTAGAGTACCCAAAACTGGCAAACACTCTGGCGGAGAGGTATTGACAGTCTGCCGCTCAAATACTCCCCAGTGATGAGCCAACCAGCCGCAGGTGTGCAGGAGGACCAACGAGGACAGGGCACCACCTAGTGGTGGAGGGAGAGAGAAACACCAAAACACAACCCACACAGACTGGATTCCTAACAAAAACTACTTTGAGGAGATTTGATTTTGTGATACATCTACTTGCACCTTTATCACCATATGATTTTAATATTTGTATTTCATTTTTTCTGATTTGGTATATGGCTCATAAATTTTGTTATATTTCCCACTAAAAAGGATTCAAATGCTTAAGAGAATTTATTTTAATCATTGGCCTCAGAATTTGGACATTTTTATTTACCGTACCATAAAACAAGCTGGAATTTCTAATAGGTTTTTTCCCTGCTTTTGTATTTATTTATGTTGAGTTGAAGGGTGGAGTTCAGAAACTTTACTATTTGTTAAACTATCCTACCTAATATAACACTTAAATAACTATCTTTGAATCAAAGTTAAAACTATTTGATTTAAAAATGTTGTTTTGTTGATTTCTTTTTATTTTATTGTTTAATTTCAAAATGTTTTACAATAAAGTATATGGACAATTTTCAGCATAATGTTCCTGAAAGAGCTCAGTATCTGTATTTCAAGGATTGGAATGGAAACGATGAATTTCTGTGGGATCGTGCACAAGGTCAGACCATTAATAAAAGACGAGGAATTATAAAGAACAATGTCTGGACAATGGTCGATGTCACTCAGGCAGCTGGAGGAGTCTACTTCTTTACTCGTAAAGACATGACTGTTGAGCTAAAGATAAAGCTATCTATAAAAGGTACATTTTTAAATCTGTTTTATGCTGCATGTGGAATTTTCCATCTATTTTCTTGTAGAAATTAAATATATATCTATGTCTAATCTACCAAACATAGAAGAAACCCAGGATTATAAAGTGCAAGTAAATGAGAGCCTCTTCATTAAATTTCCTGAGCGCGGAGGACCTTGGGATGTGGTGTTCAGCTCAAAAAATAAACAACAGAGGGTGATGATCAAAAGTCAACTAGTTTTGGAAGGCACAGGATTCGAGGGGAGAATTACTATTCAGAGTAAAAGCATTGAAATTAAATCAGTGGAAGCAGAAGACTCTGGAACTTTTAACTTCCATGATCAACAAGGCAACCTGGCAATATCTGTTAAGCTGGATGTTGACTCTGGTGAGTAAAACAGCATTTCTGATTTACATTTAAAAGTTTACAGATGATTTAACCATAACTTTCCTTCCTATATATTTTCTAATAGGACCTAATTCCCTTATAGTTGCTTATATTGTTGTTCCGTTGGTCCTTCTGGCGGTTTGTGGCCTTTGTTGGAGTTTCTGCAGCAAAAAAGATAAATCAAAACCTAGCGAGCAGGCTTCTGTTTCTCCCAATGTAAGTATAAGGTGGATGCTTAATTAAGATCACTTTATATTTTTATATTTTTATTTTTCCAGCAGTGAAGCATTGTAAAGGAAATATTTATAGAGCATGTGGTGTCTGAGTGCTTTGCATATTGTTTTTATAGAAAAACAGCTAAACCCCTGTTTTCTAAAGCTCTTTATGATGGGCCCTTTTCTGATGATTCAGCTGACTCCTGTTATAAAACTTGTGTGCTCAATTTTTGGTGGTTAGTTTATTTCTTCACTGCTGGGTTTTGACACCACTGGAGCTCAATGGAACATCCAAATGTTTAGAAATACGTAAATCAAGGCATCATGTTGGCATCATGTTTCACAAGACCGTGAGAGTCTTTAAAGAGATTTTTTTAAACCCATAGTGATGCAGTTCTTTCTGCATACCTTGATTAGAAATATTTCCTTGTGCCATAAGTAAACAGGACTGTTTCCTGAATAACGATAAATTGTAACAGTTTCCTTGGTTATTTCCTTTATTTCCTATCTGTAGCATTTGAGAACCTATTTTATTTTATTAATTTATTCCCTTTGGTCCCTTGTTGCTATAGATACAGATTTTGCTGTAATATGTTTAGGTATTTTCCTTATATGAAATATTAAGAATGCCAATATCAAGTGGAAATCTCAGGAAAAAGACGTATAAGTACATTTTTGTATGGAGAAATATGCATTCAATTGTTATTTTATCTGTTTGACACAACTGTTCTGTTTTGTTTTTCATTTTTTTTTATTTCTTTTATCATCACCCTACTTTTTGCCCGATTTTTCTAAATTAGATATCTTTTTCCCTGCAGCCTGATACTGTGCATGCTTCACAGCCTAATACCAACATGTATCCTCTGGTTCATCAGGTAAACATTCACAGGTTTTTAAAAACCTTAAAAGGTAGTTTTTTTCTTTGTTTTTTGCTTTAACTCTTTTTATTTGTTTCTCTCTCACCACTTGCTCCAGGTTCCAATTCCAGATTATTCTACTACAATCTATGAATCTGAGTCTGATTCTGATGCAACACAAGATGTAATTTCTAACATCTTGAAGCTGAGCCAAGTGATTCAAAGTTCTGTATAAACCAATTTATTCATGGCTTTGTTTAGAAGCAGGCTATTTTTCCCTAATAGTAATAGCATTGTCACAAACACAATACATCACCACTAGATTTACCTAAAGCCTTATGTGGAAACCGAAGGAACAGACTTGGAGAGGTTTTACCATGGATCTTAAAGGTGGGTCTTAAGTCCAAAAGCTCTGGATGTTCAAAACTGTTGCAGATAAAAGTATGGTGTGAGATTCAACGAGTTGCAATACAAATCACTATTTTAATAAGTGCATTAGATATTAATTTGTTTAAGTATATTTATACAATTGTACCTATAGATTGTATTTTTTTTACCTTACATTTTTTACCATTTGTTGCAGTACTCTATTGATTTATATACCCATGTGTTTGAGTACTGCAAGCTTCTTTTTTGAGATAGTATATAGCTCTGTTGTGTTTTTGTTTGTTCCTTATTTGGTTTATAGAGAAACAAAATGCTTTACTAAATAATATCCAAAACATGTCACCTTTAAAGCTTTATGTAACATATCATATGTAACATTGAATGATGTTATGTGAATTTAAAGAGAACCAAAAGGATACAAATGTGACATATTTAGTAAAGGCAAGAATAAAATGATTGCTTGTATTTCTATTTGAAGTGTTAAACTGTTTGGTTATTGTGGTCTTGTACAGTTACAGGTTTTTATATGTCAAAAATAAGGGTTATATTTCTAGAAATTTATTCAATATAGTGAGTTTAAGGATTTGCATCTCATCCATTGATCTAGATTTTCTGATCTTTACATGAGACAAATCAACATGCTCTGTGATTAATTAGTGAGCAAAACATAAGTAACTTGCAGGAGGATTACATTTCCATTTAAGTGCTGTTGGCAAGAGACAGATTTGTTTTTGATTCTAACAACTAGTTTGAATGAATTGCAGAAAACTTTAAGAAAAACTGGATTAAATGTTCCGATTTATTTTATTAAATAGTAGACCTGTTCATTCACCCTGTAATAACAATTATAATCCAATAATGACCAATGTATTGGACTAAATAATTGTTTTAAAAAATATAAATGATTTCAGTTAACACACCCTGCTGAAGAACTTTGGCTTGCATCAACAAACATTTAGAAATCATAAAAATGTCCGTTTGAATCTTAATGTAAAATGTTACAGTTTATGTAGTGGTAAAGTATCGAGCTACACAAGACAAACAAACTTGTTAAAAAAAAGTGTAAAGAGATTGATATGGTCTTATAATACGTAAAATAATAAATAAAATAACTTAACTTTTTGAACTGTATTGATCTCACAATGGAGAAATTCCCTTCTGCATCTAAACCCATCCCCTTAGGGAGCAGTGGGCTGCCACTGTGAGACGCCTCAGGAGCAACTGGGGTTTAAAGGTCTTGCTCAGGGACCCATATTGAGGCTGTGGGGATAGAACCAGGAAAGCACAAGGAAACTGCTCTAACCACTAAGCCACCCACTCCCCAATATACTCCATTACAATTCCTTAATAACTATTTTAATATTTTTTATTACCTAATTGTGCACTGCAAAAAATGTAAATCTAATTTTTTTTAAACAATTGCATTTGTTCTTGAATTGAGGAGGTAAGAGAGACATTTGATGGACCAACACAATTTACATTTAAAATAAAAATAAGTTGCATTCATTTGTTTCAAGTGCATATTTCCTAATTATCTACCTAATTGAGTGTAAAAATACTCATTCCATTGGCAAATCATATTGTTGACCTTCTCAGATTAAGGTAAATATACTTAATTAAAGAATCTTTTACTTATTAGATCGTTTTTGCAAAGTAAAACCTTAATGATGTTTGAATCCTTTAGGCAACATCGGATGAAAAGAATCAGTTTCCCAGTTTTATTTTCTGCTTAGGATATCAAAATATATTTTTGGGGGGTCGAAGAGACATAACAGTACAATACAAGTCAATAGTAGACAAGAAGGAAATTGATCAGGCTATTAAGTATAAAGAGGACAGTTATGAGTCTATTGTGATCATTTTGTGATTCTAAAAGCTTTGCAGGCAAAAAAACACAAAAAACATGTGCATTCTTTTGAAAATAACTCTTTTCAAGACTACTGAGATTACTGAATATATTTTCCAACCATTTCCTTATGTTACTTTTTTATGAATTTTTTTTTTTTTTTTTTTACTAAAAGAAGAATGATGTAATAGACTTTCAAATGCTATTTTTAGTGTTCTTAGTCTGAAATGGCCTTGAAAGGATCTGTTTATGTTTTCCATCTGTTTGTCTTTTTTGAGTCTGTAAATTCCATGCCGCAACTAAACGCAACAGCAGAATCAAAGGAGCAGACGCCCCTTTGAGACTGATCCCCACCGAAGCAGTTTCTACCTGCAATTTAAACCTTCTGGTGGTTTAGTACGATGTGCCCTCATTGCGCTGCGCTACCTTGACTAAATGCTTATATTATTAGCCTGTTACAGTGATTTTACAGCGTTAAACACCAACTGAAAATCACGGTACATGATGCATTTGCTGCTGTGGTTAAGCGCCTGTTTCTGTGTCGGTGAGTTATCAAGTTTTTATCTTGATTTATTTCAAATAACTGACCCGATTTTGTGAGGCTTCTATCACGATTCAAAACTTAATATGGTGCATAAATAATTTTAACTTCGTTAAATACAGTATTACAATCTTTTTACCCCGCTTTGTGAAAATAAAAACAATATTTATATTTTTGCTTTCTTTAATAGCAATCTGTTTTTGAGTTTCTAAGAAGTCTCATCACACCGGAAACTTAAACAATTATATTATTTATGGTTATTATGGCACATTTTTTAAATGGACATGAAATCTAAACGGTAAGATAGCGCCCCCGTCTTGTGACTCCTGAAATTACAGGATAATTTTCGGGTTATGCATAGAAACAAAAAGTAGGGAGGACTAATCATGCCATAATTAGAAATAAATAAAGACATAAATAAATGCTCCAAAAAAAAAAAAAGGGATACAATTAATTCTCTCCTTAAAACACAATAATTGTAGATAGAAATAATATTATACAGTGAGACATAAATGTATATATTCTCTTTTATTTAGCTTCTTTGTTTTTTTGCCTTTGTAATTATTAGCTTAGTTATTTATTGTCCGGTATAATCTTCAACTTAATTTATTTATTATTAATTTCTTTAAGTATTTATTTTTGTGCAGTTTATAATATTTCTGTCTGGTTTACTCTTTTTTTGCATTGTTTTACCCTATTTATTTCCTCCATGCTTTTTATTATGCCAAAAAAATCAGTGTCTTTAAAGTGTTGTTTCTTTAGAGGGCTAAAGCACTGATAGAAGCCTTTCCTGTTATTACAAATATGGAAAAGGTATATATATGTATATATGTATA